CTAGAGAATAGACACCTCTAGAGTATCCCTAACACCACCGTATACCAGACACCGGAATATACCAAACCCTAGACAATAGCCACCTCTAGAGTATCCCTAACACCACCGTATACCAGACACCAGAATATAACAAACACTAGACAATAGCCACCTCTAGAGTATCCCTAACACCACCGTATACCAGACACCTGAATATACCCAGACACCAGAAACCCTAGACAATAGCCACCTCTAGAGTATCCCTAACACCACCGTATACCAGACACCTGAATATACCAAACCCTAGACAATAGCCACCTCTAGAGTATCCCTAACACCACCGTATACCAGACACCTGAATATACTAAACCCTCGAGAATAGCCACCTCTAGAGTATCCCTAACACCACCGTATACCAGACACCTGAATATACCAAACCCTAGACAATAGCCACCTCTAGAGTATCCCTAACACCACCGTATACCAGACACCTGAATATACTAAACCCTCGAGAATAGCCACCTCTAGAGTATCCCTAACACCACCGTATACCAGACACCTGAATATACTAAACCCTCGAGAATAGCCACCTCTAAAATAATCTAAATCTCCATACTATCATACACCGCGTTAAGATTTTTAAAAATACATACTGTGTTGAAAATCATAGGTATATAACGTGATTATACACCTCTGAATGGCTTTAATTAACCAATCACAATCCAGTATTTATTGAAGTCATGGTAGAATAGAGCATGGAGCAATGATTTAAATGTTAAGCATAGGCGGATCCAGAGAGGGGGGTGGCAGGGTGCGCACCCATCCACCACCACCCCACCCCCACCCCTTTTGTCCTGAAAGTTTATTAAATGAACATTGAAAATGGGTGAAAATGAAGAGTGCACTAAACTAACTCCTAGACAATAGACACCTCTAGAGTATCCCCTAACACCACCGTATACCAGACACCAGAATATACCAAATCCTAGACAATAGACACCACTAGAGTATCCCTAACACCACCGTATACCAGACACCGGAATATACCAAACCCTAGACAATAGACACAAGAGTATCCTCTAGAAAATCCCTACACCACCGTATACCAGACACCGGAATATACCAAACCCTAGACAATAGACACCTCTAGAGAATCCCTAACACCACCGTATACCAGACACCAGAATATATATCCCTACAAACACTAGACAATAGCCACCTCTAGAGTATCCCTAACACCACCGTATACCAGACACCAGAATATACCAAACCCTAGACAATAGACACCTGCAGAGTATCCCTAACACCACAGGATAGCAGGCACCGGAATATACCAAACCCTAGACAATAGCCACCTCCAGAGTATCCCTAACACCACCGTATACCAGACACCGGAATATACCAAACCCTAGACAATAGACACCTCTAGAGTATCCCTAACACCACCGTATACCAGACACCGGAATATACCAAATCCTAGACAATAGCCACCTCATGAGTATTGATAAACCCACCGTATACCAGACACCGGAATATACCATTGTTAATAAGTATCTCTTTTGTATATGGACCTATGGCCTTTCACGCAGTAAAGAATTGAATTGGATTGATATACCAAATCCTTGACAATAGCCTGGACAATATCCATAGTACACCAAGGACCACACTATAAGATACCACTCCTCCTGCACTTAGTTATCCCTTTCTTAATAGTTACTGATGGACTTTCAATCTGTGTCCTCGTGGAAGGCTGTTGCCGTCTTGTTATAAGCATGTATTGAACCACGGCCTCATGGTAATACTTTTGTAGCCACATCGATATGGATATTGATACATTTATTCCACGTGTTGCCTCACGCTTTGTACCACATGAGATTGTTGACTACATCATACATCAATACTTGTCCACATCATATGATACATGTATGTGTACCCGTACAACTCAGCGTGTCGGCTCTGTAACAACACAGGACCGCCTCCGTGGTGTAGTGGTTAGAGCGCCCGCCCGGAGAGCTGAAGGTCGCGGGTTCAATCCGCGACCGCGTCATACCAAAAGACGTGAAAATATGGTACTTGTTTGTCCCTGTCTGGCGCTCGGCATTAATGGGTACAACAAGGACTGGTCGGCTCGGAGTCAGTATAATGTGTCTGAGTGGGGTATCCATGCTTCACTGCGGCATGGTATCTCAGTGGGCTAGCACTATAAAACCAGCTTAAGTCTGGGCTAGTATAAGCAGCCGCACATACACATACACACGCATGCACGTCGTCATATGAGCGAAATATTCTCATGCACGACGTTAAATCCAATTTCACCTCACCTCACCTATTACAATTTACAACACGGGCCCTCACGGTTAAGGAGATGCTCAACAGGTGTCACCATTTCGTTCAATAAGAGGATATTATTGCTTCCGATTGTAACACTTATCCACTCTTTCATAACTGGATTTAGAATTAACTGATACCATTTGGAAATAAACGTCATTAAAACAAGGGCTTACACCTCCTACCGGCCAGCCACTTCATGTATATTGTGTTGAATTGCTTATATCGAACTGCGGTTATAACGAACTAAACTCAGTGGTCACTTCGAGCTCTTTATAGTTTAAGTTTACTGTAATTACAAAATCGGCGACTCATTATACATTTATTATTGATCCTCCAGCGCGTTTATCGTCTTTAGTTGATGGTGAACCTATAATGTAAGTTGGGGTTGGGGTCGATGTCGTCTATTGTTGCCGTGTCCTTCATCCATTCAAAATATTGATGCCATTTGTACCGAGTGTCCGTTCCACGGACTGATACGGGCCGTGATGACTCGGGTTTCAACTGTCGCCGTGTCTTTATCTGTAATCGAAACTGTCGCGCATTCGAGCTTGTTTTAACATAAAGGATTAGTTGATTTGACAATTGTTAGCACGGTGTGTGTGATATGTGTGTACGAAATGTATATGTTATACATACACACGCATACCTTACCCGTGACGGTCCGGGTTAGAATATTGATCTTCAGTAACTCATGCTTGTCGTAAGAGGCAACTAACGGGATCGGGTGGTCAGGCTCGCTGACTTGGTTGACACATATCATCGGTTGCCTATTGCGCAGATCGATGCTCACGCTGGTGATCACTGGATTGTCTGGTCCAGACTCGAATTTTACAGACCGCCGCCATGTAGCTAGAATATTGCTGAGTGAGGAGTAAAATTACACTCACTCACTTATATCTAAACACACAAACACACACAAACACGCAAATGCACACGCAGGCAGGCACACGCACGCAGGCAGGCACACACACGCACGCACGCACGCACACACACCACGCATACCCATCCATCAATCCACCAGTCAAACCACCCATCCATCCATCCATCTATGCACACCAACACACACGCGCGCGCAAAAACACACACACACACACACACAAAAAGAAGAAGAAGAAGCAAATACACACGCAGGCACGCACATGCACACACACACACACACACACACACACACACACGCACATCCATCAATCAATCAATCGATCGATCCACACACATGCACACACAAACACGCAAATACACACGCAGGCAGGCACACGCACGCACACACGCACAAACACACTACGCACATTCATCCATCAATCCACCCATCAAACCATCAATCCATCTATACACACAAACACACACACAAATACACAAGCACACACACACACACACACACGCGCGCGCGCGCGCAAATACACTCGCAGGCACGCACACGCACGTACACACACAACGCACATCCATCCATCAACCAATCAATCAATCAATCCATCCACACACACAAACACCCAACACACATACATACATACATACGCACGCACGCACGCACGCATGCCCGCACGCACGCACGCACGCACGCACGCACGCACGCACGCACGCACACACACACACACACACACACACACACACATACATACATACATACATACATACATACATACATACATACATACATACATACATACATACATACATACATACATACATACATACATACATACATACATACATACATACAGGTATCTGTTAGATTGATATAACCATAAAATTGAACCTTGAGACAAGGATGAATTCTTTTCCGGCTTCGACACAATTTGGTTGTCAAAATCATTTCCGTCAATCCAGCTCCAGTCGTTACAGCAAATATTCTCTCCCTGAATTATACGCAGCAGCATCTTTTGTCAACGGGTCATTGGTACCTTGAATACCTGAATGTCTTTTATCGGTACTGACTGTACCCATGTGGGGAATCGAACCCCAAGAGAAAGGAGTATATTCCACAGAAGTATTTGGGTCACCCTACAAGGGAAACACTTATAAGAATTTTATCATCTGAAGACGAATCTGTCCATGTAAAATTAGTCCTGTTTTTAACACATTCGGTGTCGTTAAGGAAGAGTCTGATTTCTCCTGTCAAGAAATTGCACAATATTATAATGCTTTCCACTATTTGCAATGCCCATATATTGCCTGTCATTATAATACTATGTATACGGGCCGGATGCCTTATGTGCAATAAACCATCTTGATCAAACCATCTTGATCAAACCATCTTGATCTTGAACCCGTGTCTTCGGCGTGACGAGCAAACGCTTTAACAACTAGGCTTCCCCACCGTCCCCTTTTAACGGTAAACAATATTCACGACATATAGCAACAGTAAATACTGAGTCTCGTATCTGGCCCCTACAAAGACGTCAGTCCGGTACAGCTCAATTAAAGACGAGTTTGCAAGTGTTTAATTAAACGAAAACTTAATACAGAAGCATTTTCGACGTTCCTGTTTGTTTCTAAAGTGTGTTATGTATGTGATGGCATGGAACTGGATGAAGACAGTTTACGTTCTACTGAACACGAAACACACTGTTCCATGTGGTAATGTTTAATGTACCATAGGAAGGCGTATGCTATAGTTATCCATATCATACGTCACAATTCAATGACAACCGGACAACCAACCAGAGAGTGTGTCACCTGCAAAATGTCGATACCTGTACACAGCGATGTTCCTCAGTAATGCTGGTAGCGATCACGATGGCAGGTCAACCAACCAGAAAGTGTGTCATCTGCGATATGTCGATACCTGTACACAGCGGTGTTCCTCAGTAAGGCTGGTAGCGATCACGATGGCAGGACTACGCAAGCTTAAGGTAATAACTTTCTTTCACGGTCAGGTTCTGGAATAGATTCACGTTACTAACATATCATGTAAACATGCATAATGCCAAATATACTCATGCCAATAATGGTTGTCACCCCCTCCCCACCCTAACCAAACACACACCTCACACCCCCACCCCACACCCCCTCTCCAATTAAATAAATCGAAGGGGGTGACAACCATTATTGGCATGAGTATATCAAATGGTTTTTGTTTGTCTTTCTGAAACAGGTTGTGAGAATTTGCGAACTTGGCAACTTGGGATCACGGTGACACAGACGTTTCAGGACTTTTGTCTGTGAATATCTGTGTTAGGACCGACGTTGGAAAATGTGTAATAACTTATTACCATTACCATTCGAGTTTCATTTCTTGACACATTATTGGACATATCTGTTGATGTTTTAGACACATATGTTCCAAGTGCCATGTATACTCACGTCAAATGTCCTTGAGACAAACACGTCTCTTCTTCAGGAGACACACCATATGACCTTGAAACGTACTCGCCTACCTCCTGTTAATGAGACACACGCGAGTAATAAAATATAAATAAAATGGTGACAATGAATGAAATTACTGCAATCGATTGCTGAAGGAAGTAAAGATGGGAACGTTCAGTACTGTTAACAATGACTGGAGGAATGTCATGGACCGTGAACAATTGAAGGCAATATCATCGATCTATTGTCACACACAATGTACAGAAGCCGATGGTTTAATCAGTTTATCTAGTATGCGATATTGAAATGTGGGCAAATCTGTCGTTATTCAGTCAACACGGCTGTGAAGAGCAATGTGTCTGTCTTTCCTTCTTATATCTATCACGTTTGTTGATCTCGATGTAGTGTGCTCATATGAAACACATTCTTAAGAATCTTCAGTATTTTTCAATGTTCATTATGCCAGCAGTCTGAAGTTGCTTGAAGCACACACTGTAGCTGGTGGCTCGTTATGGTTTCAGTCATCCAGGAAGAAACGACTTCGCGTTTTGAAGTGAACGGATGGCAGCTATTCAAGAACAATGGAACATATGTCTGAAGTTAACCGTCGTCATTCCGCTCTGGTTCTTGGTTTGGAATGGAAGTTAACCGTCATTCCGCTCTGGTCCTTGGTTTGGAATGGAAGTTAACCGTCATTCCGCTCTGGTCCTTGGTTTGGAATGGAAGTTAACCGTCATTCCGCTCTGGTGCTTGGTTTGGAATGGAAGTTAACCGTCATTCCGCTCTGGTCCTTGGTTTGGAATGGAAGTTAACCGTCATTCCGCTCTGGTGCTTGGTTTGGAATGGAAGTTAACCGTCATTCCGCTCTGGTCCTTGGTTTGGAATGGAAGTTAACCGTCATTCCGCTCTGGTCCTTGGTTTGGAATGGAAGTTAACCGTCATTCCGCTCTGGTGCTTGGTTTGGAATGGAAGTTTTCTTCCGTGTCGCCTTTTGTTGAGCATGTTAACTACCAATTTGTAACAGAACGAAGATAGGCGTATCTTCTTCAGATGGAATGAGCGGGCAACGTTTATTAATGAAATCTGAAGTAAATCTTCAAACTGGAAAACGTGGAAGATGGTATCAAACCATTTGACTGGGAGGGCGGTGTTGTCGAAACTCTGGTTGGTTTAATGGAAACAGCAATCATCATTTTGACGACTGTAGTTACAATTTCAAACAGCCTCACAGTTTATAGATCGAGAAATACTTTTTGACGACCTTACTATTCAACCAACCCTCATTCTGCAGTCTACAACCAACCCTCATTCTGCAGTCTACAACCAACCCTCATTCTGCAGTCTACAACCAACCCTCATTCTGCAGTCTACAACCAACCCTCATTCTGCAGTCTACAACCAACCCTCATTCTGCATTCTACGAACGCTTCACGGTGTATCAAAAAATATGTTGTCTTATTCTAAACCAGCTGTCGACAATCGTAGCGGAAATTGCACCGTACGTGACGTCACAATTTCTAAATAAGACACCAACCATAACGGGTATGACCGTTAATAAGGGAGAACGGAAACTGATGTTGCGCCTGAAATCTTCCATCCACGCACCAGTTAGAACAAGGATTAAAGGGACAGTTAATAAATGATCCTGAACAATTTTAAATATAATTTTAGTTAATGTCTATCAACAATCCACTAAATGTCGATGAATATAGGAAGAAGAAAGTCCTGGAAGAATATATTTTAATCAGTGAAAAAGTTTATACAAGAAAATATGGGAAGCTCAGAGTGGTAGCGATGAAGAACACCGTTTCATGTTCCCGCTGAGCTGAATTGCTTGAACGGTTATCTCATCGATACGCTTTATTACAGCGGTGAGATCAAAGTAAGAGTCTGGTATTCATTGAACTGAAACTTGTTCAAAGTTAACAGTCATTCGAGTTTTATTTATTCCATGCCTGTCATTTTGAACATTGGAACAGGTTTTCATATATATACTTTCTTGTGAAGCATGGTGTCAGATTGCTGCCAGATGCTGTGGGTTTCAGGTCGACCCGACTGTTCCTGACTAGAACACGTACTTACAAAAGCGTCTCTGTGAACTGACAAACTTGGTAACCTTGTTGTTTTCGGTTTCTTAGTCCAACCCTCTGTCGTTCCTTGATCTCGATCCTTTTCCGTTTAAGTTTCATATCCTCTCGATACATATCACTGACCGAGGCACAGGCGTTGCAGGAAAACTTCTTGCCATTCATTTCCAATCCGGTTATGCTCAGTTGGGATGTCACCTCCTTTCTGCCCACAGGCAGCTTCATAGTCATCGCTGTCTTCGTCATACTTCACACGTTTTGTCAACGACGTCCCCTTGTTCTCGGGAAACCATGCCCTGATGTGATGCTGTGTGTCGTAAGAGGCAACTCACGGGATCGGGTGGCTAGGACTTGGTTTCATCGTATCTCAATTGCGTAGATCGATGCTCATGATGTTGATTGTCTGGCCCAGACTTGATTATTTACCGCCATACATCTGGAATATTGCGGAATGCAGAGTTACCAGACCAAACCATTAGAGATGTCAGATTTTACGAAGCTGAGGTCAGTTATGACAGAAAATGGTCGCACGTTCCCATAAAAATGTTTTCAAACACTTGCTGACAGAGCGGCATTTCAGAAAAGTCTAAATTGAATGGAAAGGCATCGCAAAGCATTGTCTGGAAAGTTCTGTATATTTATCTTGATTGAACTGAATAATTATTGAATTTGAATTGCAATTGGAGAGGGGGATGAATTGATCTTGCCCTCACGGTTCACTTTTAGGTAAAGACAATTTTCTCCCCACGAACGAACTATAGGTTGCATATCACGTCAATATTTGAATCATTTACAACTTTTAACTCAGCTTTAGCCAATCTTATCTCAGCGGTGTACTCCCAAAAGTCATACATCCCAATTGTCATACAAATCAATCAGACGTGACTGTGATTACAACCTAGTCTTACCCACTGTAATAATGAACCTGCCCCATACACTAACGAGATGGTTTTCACATTTTTACAGAAATACTTTGATCAGAATGGCAATGTTGACAGTTAATCTAGAGAAAACTCAAATTGCTGTTTTTTAGAAAAGGTGGACACTTAGCGAGAATTAAGAAATGGTTTTATAAAGGTGAAGTATTTGATACCCAAATTCAGCCAATCCTTTGGTATGGTGCCGAAGTATGGGGTATTAATAAACTTTATAAGATTGAAAATGTACATTTAACTGCATGTAAGATGGTGGTCGCCAAACACCAAATGTAATTGTTTATGGTGATTGTGGACGTTACCCAATGTATATAAATGCACAACGGTGTTTCATAATATACTGGCTTAAACGTGTTAATATGCATCAACAAAGAATTCCAAAAAAGCTTATGATATGCTAATGTATTACGATAATTGTGGTTATGATAACTATGTTTCATCTGTGCGTAATTTATTGTTTTCATATGGATTTGGTTTTTATGTTTGGTTATTTCAAAGTGTTGGTATTGAATCCCAGTTTCTTCAAATGTTTAAACAAGTTGCAGTTGACATGCATATAGTCGGAATAGTACAACTGAAGAAAGTTCAAAGTATAAGCTGTACAGACAATTTAAAAGCCTTTTAGAGCCAGAAAAATATTTAACTACGTTAACAAATAAGAAACACAGAAATATTCCTACTAGGATCAGAGATTTTGCATGCTTGTTTTTACGATGTTGACTTTGATCAAAACAGGATTCTAGATTTGTTATGTTTTTGAGTTTACATTAACCTAATGGAGTTACTTCCTTCCTAACATTGTTTTTCCAACATAAACAATATAAAATAAAGTCGTTGTCATTATCTATAATCTCTTCTCTTTGTGTTTCGATTAATATGTTTGGACTAGTCCATTAATTAACGAAGGTAACAGTGTAGTGAACCTCAGTGCAACCAACCATAACCTTTGTTGTTTTAACGCGTCTAACTTTTGGGACGTCTAACGTTTGGGAGGACACCATCTCAGCTATTGTATAGTGCCACAGAGTCAGTGTTCAGTTGCCATTGTTCAATGCAAATCTTGACGCAAACCTTAAGTTAAACAGTGTTTAAAAATATACAGTGTGTGTTTATTATTGTGCAATAAATAATATCCGCGAGTCGTTTATTTTCATAAGATACTTGCAGCCACTTTAAAATATTAATAAAATATACAGGTTTAAACAAGCGAGTTTATTAATTTGAAAAAAAACACACCAAAAATTAAAAACAAAAAAAACAACTCAAAATGTGCAAATTATTGATGGTTACACAGCTGAAACATTCCTTTTGACGTTGGGCGGCACATTGATTCTGGAATTGACAGCTGCTGCTGGTAGAATTATTTTGTCACTGGCATACATTATTCTGGTAAACAGGCTGTAGACCGCGCAGTTTTGTGTGTTGCACATGTTCACTTTTCTGTTCAACATATGTGTTGATGCAATATATAAACATTCTTCTTTCATTTCTGTATCTGTGTGTATAGTTCCACTCGAATGACACCGGAGCGTTACAGCGGTTTGAGTATTCCACGCCGAAATGTGGGGCGGTGAGGTAGCCTAGTGGTTAAAGCGTTCGCTCGTCACGCCGACGACCCGAGTTTGATTCCCCACATAGGTACAATGTGTGAAGCCCATTTCTGGTGTCCCCCGCTGGGATATTGCTGGAATACTGCTAGTACCAAAAACATACTCACTCACTCACACCGAAATTAGTTTCTGGCACTTTCTGGATGGATCCTGGAGACCTGCTGCCGATTCGGGGGCTGATTTGGATGTACAAAATGGAAAAAACTTTGTGCCGACATTTTTCATCGTCAGGTACATAGCAAATGTGCGGGAATTCTTTCACCGTTCATGCTATTCACACAGTTGCTGTTTTTGTCAACTGTTACACGTGCCATTTCAGCGAACTGTATACCTACATCAGCTGTGTAAAGGACAAAGCTACAGGCTCCTAAAACATTCTCGGTGGTGCCTCTGAAAATGAGTTATTACTTAAAACCACACCTGACACAGGTGATCTGTCTGTTCAAAGTAACTGTCCTATCATCAGATAGTCATTAATAGAAATGTTGAAACAGTATTATCTAAACAAATACCATAGACAAAATCAATAATTTCGCTCTCTTTCTTTCTTGGGTTTGGGCGGTGGGGTAATCTAAAGGTTAAAGAGTTCGCTCGTCACACCGAAAACCCGGGTTCGATTCCCCACATGGGTACAATGCGTTAAACCCATTTCTGGTGTCCCCTGCCGTAATATTGCTGGAATATTACTAAAAGGGGCGTAAAAATAAACTCACTCACACTTCTTTCTTGGGTATTTCACATCATGAAAGGATGACATTTTATGGACAGTATAGAAATTTGTATCTCGTGAACTTGTACCCAATTTGTTGTTGTATGTCCACATGAACCTGAATGTATTACATGCGGTCAATGATATGACTGTAGGTGTAATATTGATCAGGAAAAAGAACCTCGCCTTTTAACGTGCGTCAAATATCGCTGAAGAGAAACCTTCAGATCAATCACATCAATTTCAGAAAAGCTCGAGTGAACAGATCGACGAATGGTCGCGTTGACCCAGATGAATATTTTATAAGACCTTCACACGGGATCTAAACATTGAAGTAAAAGACAGCAAGCTGCAACACGCCTGAAGAGACAATATTGAGTTAGTGACTCAACCGAAATAAAAGTGCTGACTGGAACCGATGAAAATGTTCAGTATAGCACAGGAGAGTCGAACACGAATATACCCTCGAGAACTTTTATTCTGAAGGATGATCAATGTTATAGCCGCTATTTCCGTATTCATATCATAGACAGGTGTGATGTCTTTACCATGCGTATTCTGATCACAGACAGGTGTGATGCCCTCACCATGCGTATTTTGATCACAGACCGATGTGATGTTGTCTTTATCATGCGTATTCTGATCATAGACAGGTGTGACGTCTTTACCATGCATATTCTGATCATAGACAGGTGTGTGCATGTTCTTACCATGCATATTATTATCATAGACAGGTGTGATGTTGTCTTTATCATGCGTTTTCTTATCACAGACAGGTGTGTGCATGTTCTTACCATGCATATTATTATCATAGCCAGGTGTGATGATGTCCTTACCGTGCGGTTTCTTTTCACATACAGGTGTGATGTCCTTATCATGCGTATTCATATCATAGTCAGGTGTAATGTTGTCCATTCCATGCGTTTTCTTATCACAGACAGGTGTGTGCATGTTCTTACCATGCATATTATTATCACAGACAGGTGTGATGTTGTCTTTATCATGCGTATTCTTATCACAGACAGGTGTGTGCATGTTCGTACCATGCATATTATTATCATAGCCAGGTGTGATGTTGTCTTTATCATGCGTATTCTTGTCATAGACAGGTGTTATGTTGTCCTCAACATATATATTCTTTTCATAGACAGGTGTGATATTTTCCTAACCATACGTATTCTTATCATAGACAGGCGTGTTCTTGTGCTTAACATGCGTATTCTTTTCATGGACAGGTGTGATGGTGTCCTTAGCATGCGTATTCGTGTAAAAGACAAGTGTGTTTTCCCTTAGCCTGCGTATTATAGTGATAGACGTGTGATTTTTCCTTAGCATGCGTATTATTGTCATGGGCAGGTGTGATGTTGTAGTTAGCATGCGTATTCGTGTATTAGACATGTGTGTGTCATGGGCAGGTGTGATGTTGTCTTTAGCATGCGTATTATTGACATAGACAGGTGTGATGTTGTCCTCAGCATGCGTATTATTGACATAGACATGTGTGATTTTTCCTTAGCATGCGTATTATTGTCATGGGCAGGTGTGATGTTGTAGTTAGCATGCGTATTCGTGTATTAGACATGTGTGTGTCATGGGCAGGTTTGATGTTGTCCTTAGCATGCGTATTACTGACATAGACAGGTGTGATGTTGTCCTCAGCATGCGTATTATTGACATAGACAGGTGTGATGTTGTCCTTAGCATGCGTATTATTGACATAGACAGGTGTGATGTTGTCCTTAGCATGCGTATTACTGACATAGACAGGTGTGATGTTGTCCTCAGCATGCGTATTATTGACATAGACAGGTGTGATGTTGTCCTTAGCATGCGTATTATTGACATAGACATGTGTGATGTTGTCCTTAGCATGTGTATTATTGACATAGACAGGTGTAATGTTGTCTTTATCATGCGTATTCCTATCACAGACAGGTGTGTGCATGTTCTTACCATGCATATTATTATCATAGCCAGGTGTGATGTTGTCTTTATCATGCGTATTCTTGTCATAGACAGGTGTTATGTTGTCCCCAACATATATCTTCTTTTCATAGACAGGTGTGACATTTTCCTAACCATACGTTTTCTTATCATAGACAGGCGTGTTCTTGTGCTTAACATGCGTATTCTTTCATGGACAGGTGTGATGGTGTAATTAGCATGCGTATTCGTGTAAAAGACAAGTGTGTTTTCCCTTAGCCTGCGTATTATAGTGATAGACATGTGTGATCTTTCCTTAGCATGCGTATTATTGTCATGGGCAGGTGTGATGTTGTAGTTAGCATGCGTATTCGTGTATTAGACATGTGTGTGTCATGGGCAGGTGTGATGTTGTCCTTAGCATGCGTATTATTGACATAGACAGGTGTGATGTTGTCCTCAGCATGCGTATTATTGACATAGACAGGTGTGATGTTGTCCTTAGCATGCGTATTATTGACATAGACAGGTGTTATGTTGTCCTCAACATATATCTTCTTTTCATAGACAGGTGTGATATTTTTCTAACCATACGTATTCTTATCATAGACAGGCGTGTTCTTGTGCTTAACATGCGTATTCTTTTCATGGACAGGTGTGATGGTGTAATTAGCATGCGTATTCGTGTAAAAGACAAGTGTGTTTTCCCTTAGCCTGCGTATTATAGTGATAGACATGTGTGATTTTTCCTTAGCATGCGTATTATTGTCATGGGCAGGTTTGATGTTGTAGTTAGCATGCGTATTCGTGTATTAGACATGTGTGTGTCATGGGCAGGTGTGATGTTGTCTTTAGCATGCGTATTATTGACATAGACAGGTGTGATGTTGTCCTCAGCATGCGTATTATTGACATAGACATGTGTGATTTTTCCTTAGCATGCGTATTATTGTCATGGGCAGGTGTGATGTTGTAGTTAGCATGCGTATTCGTGTATTAGACATGTGTGTGTCATGGGCAGGTGTGATGTTGTCCTTAGCATGCGTATTACTGACATAGACAGGTGTGATGTTGTCCTCAGCATGCGTATTATTGACATAGACAGGTGTGATGTTGTCCTTAGCATGCGTATTATTGACATAGACATGTGTGATGTTGTCCTTAGCATGCGTATTACTGACATAGACAGGTGTGATGTTGTCCTCAGCATGCGTATTATTGACATAGACAGGTGTGATGTTGTCCTTAGCATGCGTATTATTGACATAGACATGTGTGATGTTGTCCTTAACATGCGTATTACTGACATAGACAGGTGTGATGTTGTCCTTAGCATGCGTATTACTGACATAGACAGGTGTGATGTTGTCCTTAACATGCGTATTATTGACATAGACAGGTGTGATGTTGTCCTTAACATGCGTATTATTGACATAGACAGGTGTGATGTTGTCCTTAGCATGTGTATTATTGACATAGACAATTGTGATGTTGTCCTTAACATGCGTATTATTGTCATAGACAATTGTGATGTTGTCCTTAACGTGCGTATTATTGTCATAGACAATTGTGATTTTTCCTTAGCATGCGTATTCTTATCATGGATTATGATGTTGCCAGTTTGTATATAAAATCACCCTTATCCCCACCTCACGTGTAAGTTGCGCAGAAAAGAATGGAAACAGTGGAAACAATATGGAACCAAAGGTACTCAAGAATTGATCAAATAAATAAATGCGACAAAACCCTTTTCACATTCATAAGAAATATCTGCTGAAAGCAGAGTGGATTATGCAATTGTGACGATATCATGAACATATATTTGTAACGAAGTTTAGAGGATATTAGGTAATTGAAATACTTTTGTATTTCAGACATCGCTCGTAAACCCACAGCCAGGACGATTACCAATTCTCGGCCTGATCCTGACCTTGACGATATGCTTACTAGGGACTTACGTAATTGGAACATTTTACGTTACTTTTATTGTAGATAAAAACATCAAAGGCCTTGACCTTCCGCGTACTCTGCCTAGACGTGATGTATTGCAGTCAGATGTACTGTTGGTCAGGGAACAATCCCAACCTGTGTACGTCATACCAAAATATGCACTAGTTGTTGAGAAGGCTCAAAATGTTGTCTACAAGCCCGTCAACGTTTCCATCCAGAAGAAGTCTGTCCAGAAGCTGCCGTTGAAGAAACTCACCTGGCTTAACCCCCCTGGGTGGATGAAGGTCGAGCCGTACACAGATTTCACTCAGTGCGTTGTCAGTGACTGTGTCATCTCCTTCAACAGGAGCGACGTTGATGCTGCTGACTTGGTCCTGGTGGAAGGGAACGCTATCCCAGACGCTGAGACTCCAACAAATAACCCTGATCAGATCTGGGTGTTCTACACAGCAGAGACGGTCCAACAGTTCTACAACCCGAGAAGCTATAAACGGAAGGACTGGATTGGTAGATTCAACTGGACAATGACCTACAGGCTAGACTCGGACGTCGTCTCAACGTACTCCAGACTCATCCTGAAAGAAGACTTCGTAAACAACGCTAACTATACCGACATCGTCCACAAGAAGACCAGGTCTGTCCTGTGGTTCGTCAGTCACTGTGAGACTCAGAGTAAACGGAAGGAATACGTTGAGGAACTGAGGAAGTACATAGATGTTGATATTTACGGTCACTGTGGCAATCTGACATGTAAAGGACAAGAGTGTGACAAGGTGTGGAGTAAATATTGGTTTTATTTGTCTTTTGAAAACTCAATGTGTAAGGATTACGTAACGGAAAAGTTTTTCAACACATTTAATAAGAACATCGTTCCAGTGGTTCGAGGGGGTGCAGATTACCGTACTCTGTTCCCTCCAGACTTGTACATCAACACAGCAGACTTCTCCAGTCCCAAAGCTCTGGCAGATCATCTGAAGGCTCTGCAGCAAGACCTACCTGGCTATACTAAAATCCTCAGGAACATGGCCAAGTACAAACAAGGGGGGAACTTCCTGAAGGGTATTCCATGGATATGTGACACTTGTGCCAAGCTGCACCAGCCTTTGGTGAGAAAGAACTATTTTGATATTCACAGGTGGTTGACCGAAGGCGTCTGCTATGAACCCAAAGACTTTTAGAACAAAATGTGCCTATTAGTCCTGAACTGAATTCCGTGTCTGTACAGGACACCAGTCTTACCTCGTATAGCAAATTAAAGTGTGCCTCAAGTATAAATCTAATGCAAACATCTGTTGTAGATTTAACATATGTTATATTTGGGATTGCACTTTCTCACTATATTTAAACATTTAACGGTCTTATGTTACGGTGTTGTGTAATGAACAAAATAAGACATTTTCAACAACATAAATGCTTTATTTCAGGAACCGTTATGCTTGTATTTGTAACAAGTAGCATACATAAACAAAAAAAATACAGTTTATACTGTGAGCAAGTACAGAATTATTGATCCCCCCTACTGTATGACAATCGACTCGTCCAAATTAAAGCCGTGAACTCGCTAAGTTTAGTCGCCGCTAACTTTATTCACGGAAATAATTGTTGATAACCACCCTACTATTCCCAATTTGGAAAAGACCTCACATGCCACGTTCCATGTGGCCGGGACGGAAGCGGTCAGGTTAGGACGTGTTGGCCGACGTGTGTTGTCGACGTCATACCCGCTAGATCTAGACCCGGTTTGAATATACTGTCGCTTTTGCGCTGCTGACGGATTTTCCAGCTTCGTAGTTTCTTCACTGGGATGAGGGTCAAGAAATTCTTCTTCAAACCATTCGCTTTTTACTTCAAAAACACCAAAGATGCTGCTGTGATAGAAATTGCCGATGTCCGACATGTTTGTTTACAAACAATAGGGTCAACGAGTTCGTTGTATTCATACGCGGTGAATCGGTCACTTTAATTAGCGGTCTGAAACAGCCAGTTAATAACGGTTTTGATGAGCTCTCAGCCAATCAGAATCGAGTATCACACAATGTCGTGCTAGAATATAGATTCTAGTACTCTTTTGGGGTTGAGTCCCATCCCTTGTAGATTGCCCAGTGTCTGGAACGACTGCTCGATGGCGTCTATTAATGAACCTATAAACACGTTGTCCGTGATCACAGGAGTATTTTTGTGTGTATTTGTCTTATTTTGAGTATATGCATGATTTAGTAGCAAATATGTTTAGAAGATATATATATATATATCTATGGCTGCAACATAATTACTTATCTTGTCAAAAACTGACTTACAAAATGTGTACAATCATCAAACTAAAACTCCTAAATCATAAATACTCAAAATATCAATTGTGTGGTAACATCAAGTTTTCTTTTACAAAAAACGAATATCAAACGGTGTGACAAACCATAACAAGTCAAAATATCGATTATATATTCACATTCACCATTCCTTGACGAAGACAAATATCAAACTATATAATTATTTATACCACTTTAGTGGTATAACTATATCAAAATACTGCACGTATTCTCAGGCGGTTATCAATTTCATTGAATCAATTGCATTTAACAAAGTACATGTCTGACAAATTTGTGAATATATATTTTCACGTTCTCTTATGGGTAAAGTTTGATAAAGGAACTTATGTATGTATGTATGTATGTATGTATGTATGTATGTATGTATGTATGTATGTATGTATGTATGTATGTATGTATGTATGTATGTATGTATGTATGCATGTATGCATGCATGTATGTATGTATGTATGTATGTATCTATGTATCTATGCATGTATGTATGCATGTATGTATGCATGTATGTAAACATTAAGAGACAGTATCATTCCATGAGTAATTGGGAAGAAAAGATCGTGAGACTATCGTGACATGAACTGGATTATCTTTAGATTATCGAGCATAGTGACCAGGATACGTTAGACTAGCATGCACTGTATGTTAAATATTGGGTACTGAGAACAGGATGCCGTTAGGGTATTATATATTGTGAACAGAAGATTGTTACATTATGGGCACTGTAAACAACATATCGTTAGACTAGCATGCATTGTGAACAAACGATTGTTAAATATTGAGTACTGAGAACAGCATATCGTCAAACTATCAGGTGTTGTAAACAGGTTATCGATAAACTATCGAGTAATGTGTACTGTCGTGTACTCAGAACGGAGTATCGTTAGTGTGCGTGTTCGTCCACACTTTGGCCTCTCCATCCATAGGATAGACAAATACTCAGTCTCCTGTCCTCATCATGTATTGTATAATATCAAACTTGCAATGACTGCATATTTTCCCGAGCCTTTAGCTCCTTTAACTATTGTATGTTGTCTGGGACCTACGTAATATGTGCTTAGCCCTTCTGTATAATAAGTAACTTAGAATACTCTGTATTTGAGGTGTTAGCCACCTATTTGGTACAAAGTGATATATTGCAGTGAAATGACCAACATGTATTCGCGCCTTGATCAACAACTATCGAGTGTTAATAAAAGTGAATGTTTGTCAGCTATCAACTATTTGTTTGTTCGTTTTTGTGCTACTGGAACCAGGAAAAATGATATCCTGAACACCTTCAGATCGCGGCTCTACACTCATTGTCTTGGGGGTGGGTGGGGGTGGGGGTTCTTAGCCTAGTGGTTAAAGCGTTCACTCGTCATGCCGAAGACCCGGGTTCGATTCCCTACTTGGGTACAATGAGTGAAGCCCATTCCTGGTGTCCATCGCCGTGATATTGCTGGAACATTGCTAAAAGCATAAAACTATACTCACTCACTCACTCATTGTCCTTGGAGCAGAGTTTTTAATTACACTCAACGTATTTGAATATATTCCCAATGTTGATCTCGATTTGACATTTATATACTGAAAGCCATTAAAAATGCAATTTGACATTCATACTTTCTTTACTCGCACTAATTTCAACATATATAAACCGAACTGGCAGATATGTTTTATGTGAACATCTGTGAATAATTTCATCGGAAAATGCCCAGTCAACAACAACATCAGTGACGCAACAACGACATCACACAAAGGAGGGGTCACTTGCAGTCAATATCGTGTGTGTCCACCGTGCGCTGCAAGACATGCTCGCAGTCTTTGGGGCATTGAAAGACACACATTTCTCAGGAACAGCTGTTGGATGGTCTGCAGCCTCTGATGGTCTGTGGTCTGATCATGACACCACCCCCTCCAAAACGATCATGTTCAAGGACACAGTTTGGCGCAAGTCTTTCTCCTTTACGTCGATAAATCTGTTGACGTCCATCTGCAAAGGATAAGTTAAACCTGGATTCATCTGAAAAAATGACATCTGGCCATGTCCTGTTGCCAAGATTGGCCCGATTTGCTGCCCATCGCTGTCTGGCAAGTCTGTGGCGATGCAATAAGGTTGGACCACGGTACGGGTGACGACACCGGATGTTGAAGGCAGCAAGGCGTCCTTGCACCTTTTGGGCGCTGAAATGACGTTGACTTCTCCCAATTGTCCTCCTTGCCTAATCATCAGCTGTTTGGAACCGATTTCGCAAGTGTGAAACTCGGATATTGCGGTTTTGTCGAGCTGTTATCACAGGTGGTGCACCAGGTCGCGGACGATCAGCAACACTTCCGGTAGCCCGAAAACGTTGTCTGAGTCGACTTACAGTGGATGGATTCACATTAAAGTGCCTGGCAATCATCACATCTGAAGCACCTTGGCTGACCATACCGATAACCTGATTCCTTTCGTCTTGTGTCAAGTGTGGCATTTTCTCAAAGTGATTGAGTTCCACAATTCCTTGTGCTTTTACAGGGCCTGGGTGCAGGTAATGCATGTGCACAACGTGTTTCATGAATGTGGTTGTGTTTACGAGAAATGTCAAAGGTTCCGTTTTACGTATCAAATTCATGTGAGAGGAATGCTCCGGGACTCGAACTCGAAATGGGCCAGAATAACAGCCTTTTATCCCTACATCCTCTGTATCGCAGGAAAACATCTGCAATTGAACTTTTGTAAGTTTCAGGACAACAAATACCAATTGCGTTTTTAATGGCTTACAGTATAGTTTCAACACTTAAGATCTCTAAAGGTTTATTCAGCATCAATCAAATTCTCTTCTGAAGATGTTGTCGATGAACTTCAGATTCCATGGATGTGTTTCCTTTATTGATCGAATATAACTGTGTTTAAAGACCAAGTTTAACGAAGGTATGATCACAACTCTTTTTGGTAAAGTTGAGATGTGCAATGCTAAAACACCAGGACATGCTCGGCCTTTTTCGTTCTCACACTCTCAAGTTCTGGACCTCGACTTCGTTATACTTATTTGCAAAATTCTTATTTTATCATACCTTGTCAATTGTTACTATGACATGGTTGAAGCTGTAGTGAAAGAGGTGTTTCAATACTGACAGCAACGACATTTGACACACTTTATTGTATTAGCAACAACGTAACACATTTCATAACACTTGATAGCCAGGTACTTGATTCTTCCCAACAATGTCGTTGGTTTACATGAAGCGCGAAAATGACCAATGCTGTCTAATTAGATCAGATTTGTGCTACATGTGTCCCAATTCTCAAGTGAATATTGACTTGCCTTTACATGTGTTTGTGACGAAAGCCTTGTTTTTGGCAGAATGAACATCTTTTCGAGAACAAATCATTTCATTACTGTTCAGTATTCACTCAGACACTTGTGCCAAATATGGTCACCTGAAAGACTTCTTGAACATTGAAATGGTTTTGTTGTTTTATGTTATTTACATGCACAGATATATTCGTGTATTATAACTGTACCACAGCACCACGTGTACAAGTATAGTCATGTATTATAACTGTACCACAGCACCACGTGTACAAGTATAGTCATGTATTATAACTGTACCACAGCACCACGTGTACAAGTATTATAACTATAGTCATGTATTATAACTGTACCACAGCACCACGTGTACTGTACCACAGCACCACGTGTACAAGTATAGTCATGTATTATAACTGTACCACAGCACCACGTGTACAAGTATAGTCCATGTATTATAACTGTACCACAGCACCACGTGTACAAGTATAGTCATGTATTATAACTGTA